TCAAATTAATTCCCAATCCACCAGCTCGTGTGGAGAGCAGAAAGACAAAGATATCGGCGCGGGTTTGAAAATCAGCGACCATGTCGCGACGAGCAGAAATTTTGCTAGAGCCGTCGAGGCGCATATAGCGATGCTTGCGATGCCACATATACTCCTAAAAATCACGCATGGCATTAGAATTGGATCAAAAGGATTGCACATATTCAAACTCACCTCGAGTAGATCAATCATTTTGGTCATTTGCGAGTAAATAAGGACACGATGACCTTCGGCCTTGAGCCGTGTGAGTAGGCTGTCTAGCACAAACAGTTTGCCCGCATCCGTTATAAGTGTCTCCTTATCGGGCACCACAATCGACGACCAGCCGTTGAGCGGCTTGCAGAGCGCCAAGCCAGTACTCACAAGCTCCCTGCCCAGCACATTCTCGCACTGCATGTGGCGTATGTGCGCCCAAGCTGCGGCGCGGCTCTCACAGCTGACAAAAACCAGATGCCAGATATTAGTACATATTACATACATTAAAGCATTGCTACTCACTATAACTGTCGATCGACCGCCTGCACCCGTTGACCCAGCCCGTAGAGAAAGCGCGGCATCTGCAGCGGCTCGCATTTATAGCACTGCGGCTTACGCGGCCGATGCGGGAACTCGGGCAGCAAATGTAGCGTGGTCATCTTAACATCGCTTTTGGCATTCAATTTGGTCTGCACCTCCACAGATTCCACCTCTAGCTCCTGCTTTATAAGCGGATCTACATTCACTTGCGGCTGGCCGTCGCCATCGACGAGCTCCTCAATCAGTGCAGCCTTTTGCTTAAGTACCTTGGAACGAGTCACACGATGTTCTATCGTTTCCTGCATGTTGACAGTGATGTAATCGCCAAAAGCATAAACGCTACTCTCTCTAGACGTCTGTAAATCAACAAAACAATTAAAACTTATAATACTTGAATACATAAATAGGGAAGAAATATACGGTAATCATTCGAGGATCTGACGATCTACATAACGATATCCTTATAAGCAAGAAATATATGATTTTAGAGACTGTATTGATATATGCTAATAACGTAAAACAATTCATGTCAACATTAGACCTCTTTATGAGAAAGGAGAAGTAAGTAAAGATAAAGGCAGCTCAAATAAAATGAGCTAACAATAATTTACCACTGCAGTAAAGATGAAATTTCTCAGCACACTGTTGGGGAGCATATAGTCCGGCACAAGCTTGCGTTCTAGAGTTGGCTCCAGGAGTTGATAGCGCGGAGCACGTTGATGTGGCCACCACTGACGACGGTAGGCAAGCAAAGGCTGCCTGGCCAGTACGCGACGATAGTGCAACAGGCTGTAAAGCAATTCAGAACTAAATACGTATTGCAACAATTAGAAATAAACTGCTTACAAATCAATGAGGCCATGCCAGGTGACATCCTCCATGTCAGACAAGGAAAGATCCGACAAGCGGGTGAAGCTGAAGCAGCTATCACCGTGTACATCATCGAACAGGGATCTATGCATGTTGGCCGATTTAAAGATGTTGAATCTGTCGAGGAAGAGTACAAGTATATCAGAACTCCATTCAATTCAAAGCCAAATAGCTAGCTAACCGATTATATAGCAGATGTCTTCGGCTGGGTAGGGCGCTATGCAGTAGTCCATCATGAAAGATTAGTCGAGGTAGAACATACTCCGCACATCGCATGCTAAAGGGACTCTTTGCATCGCGCCGCTCAAAGAGCTCCGGATGATTGCAGACTTTGCGGAACTGCATGACCAAATTCATAAGGTTCGAGGTAAAGTTCCGATCCAAAATAGAGCCATCGCCGGACGCAGAGGTCGTGGACCCACCGTTGGCCACGTGCAGCAGATCCTCGATGCGAATTTTTTGTTTCAGCGCCCTATACAACAGCTTCTGGCGTATGGTTAGCGGACAATAGACCATAATCTCAATCTTATCGGACAGCTCGTTCTCCACATCTTTCTTGATGCGCCGCAGCATGAAGGGTTTCAATATCATATGCAGACGAGAGATTTGGCGCGCATCAATGCCAGTCTTATTTTCGGCATGCGATTCAATGTCCTTCGAAAACCACTCGTTAAACTCATCATGCGAATCAAACAACGTGGGCATTATGAAGTGCAGCAACGCCCACAACTCAGCCATGCTATTCTGTATGGGCGTGCCGCTCAGCAGCAGGCGATTGCGGCAATTGAAGCCCAGCAGAAGCTTCCAGCGCTGCGAGGCGGCGCTTTTGATGGCCTGAGCCTCGTCCAGAACCATGTATTGCCACTTAATCCGATTAAAATATTTGTAGTCGCTGACAATAAGCTGGTACGAGGTGATCACCACATGGAAACTAGCCTCACGTGTGTGCAGGTGCTTCTGCTCCCAGAACTGACGCAAGATCTTGCGCTCATTCGGCGAGCCCCAATAGGGCACCACGTTGAAGTCGGGCACAAACCGTGCCATCTCCTGCTGCCAGTTGTGCAGTGTTGAGGCGGGCGAAATGACCAGAAACGGACCCCACACACCATAATGCTCTGCAATGTGGCATAGAAACGCTATCGATTGCACTGTCTTGCCCAGACCCATCTCGTCGGCCAGGATGCCACTGATTCCCTGATTGTATATATTAGCCAGCCATGTCATGCCCTTGATCTGATAGCCTTTAAGTGTGCCCTTAAACATTTTGGGCTGTGGCAAATCCTTCATTTGTTCGCTCTCTGGCAGCGGATGATCTAGCTCCTGCAGCTGCTCCAATATTTGCTCCTTCTTGAAGGGTACATCGAAGGCGCGCGTCTTATCCAAATCTCGCTGAATTGCAGCCTCTGCATTCGCTTGCGCCAGCTGCTTCATTTCGCCTGCATCGTAATCGTCTTGGGTAGCCAGACGCGCATTGTGCTCCTCGTCCAACTGGCTGAGTATCCGCAACTGATCCGCCTCGGTGCCCTGGCCAAGTTTCTTGGACATGAAGTGGGCATACAGCTCCGTTTGGGTAATTAAGAAGTTAAGTTTGCGCTGTTGCCGCTTCACTTCGATAAGCTCGACATCCTGCTTGCGCTGCTCCTCGGCCTCTCGTTCTTGTTTGCGACGCTGGTCGCGCTCCACGCGCTCATAGCGCTTCCAATAGTTGAGCATTTCGCGTGTTAGACGCTTCGCCCGCCAAACGGTCTCTTTCATGATGCGCTGCGAGTTGAGCGCTCGCTGGCGCACAACCTTGGCACACATTCCAGCCACCCGCTTGCAGTTGGCCAGCATCTCCTTGTGATTGTTGCTTCTGATGCGCTGCACTCGTCCGGATTCCTTTTTGGACATGATCTGCCAGATGCGTCGCCGCCGAGCAGCCAATACCTCAGGGTTCTTGCGACGGCGACGCACACGCGTAACTTGTCCGTCCACAGCGCCCACTACGTCCACTTCCTCCTCGATTTCTTCCTCCTCCTCAGGGTAGTCCAGCGCGAAGTTGGCCAGTTCGCGCTTGTAGTCCACCTCCCCATTGTCGTCGTCATCCTCATCGTTGGCAGGCAGCGTGTCACCAAAACTGTACTTGCCGAGCTCGGACGGGTGCACTTCCCCCGACTCTGGAGAATCCAATGTGGTGCGCTTCTTACGCCCTCGTCGACGCTGCTTGACCGGCTTGGGACCCGCCTGCGCTTCAGCTAATCGAGCCAAGAGTATCTCTTGTTTGGTGCGACGTCGACGTTTCCGCACGCCAGCTGTTGCCTGCTGACGCTCAGCGTAAACGTCGTGATTGGACAGCAGCCCACTGCCATAGTAAGCGTATTGAGCGTTCTGCAAGTCATTTTGTTTAATACACGCCAATTAACCAACTGCTCCACTACTCACTGTGGCCTTTTTGTAATAATTCTTTCGGTGGCGTTGCTCCTGCAGATGCTCGCGAAGCATTTGATTAATGTATTCATCCTCGTCGCTCACCTGCGGCTCGCTATCTGTATCGCTCAGTAATATTTCGTACAGCCACTCCCGATCACTAGTTAGATCATTGAAGTTGTAAAGCTGCGCCTTAACGCTCTGGCGCTCTGTCAAAGAAGAAGAGTAAAAATCAATTAAAAATACTGCTCACAGTTTGTACTCTATTTACCCTCTTTGCTGCCCAGTAGACGCTCTCGGCGTCGCTTCTTGAGTTTCATTTTTACCATGCCCACCCTGGTCGACGATTCGTCCGAGTCAATGCATTGCTCCTGGCCAGACTCCGGCTCAGTGGCGCTGCCCTCACCGCTGCCACTGCTCAACGGCTGCTTGAGGGCCTCGCGGGCCATCTCCATGAAGGGGCGCATATTTAATGCTGCCTCGAGTCGCTGAATGTGCAGTGGTTCGGCCATGAGGCGTGGTTTCACTTCGGTAACCTGCGCCATGTTGCTTGTGTGATGCCTTAGCTGCAATTATAATTTCCTTTGCGTAATCTTTTGGGCAGCTCTAGATGGGCAAACTTTCGATTTCCAGATGCAAATTTCCGTTAGATTGGCGGTGCACAGGATGCCTCAAATGAAATTTGAATGATTTTCAATTAAAAACTGTCACGTAATTGTGCAAATTCCGCATGCGTTGCGTAAAAAATGTACGGCCGTTTTTGTATGTTGCGGTACGCACTTTTTTACTTGCCCACACGCTGCACACAAGCACATTTAGGCAGCCAAACAAATAATATTCTTCTCGGCTCTTGTAGTTCATTGTTGTTGTTTGCAGGGTTGCGTGCAGGGCTGCGTGCAGGGCTGCATATACTCTGCGCGCAGTGTTGAATAGTGCCACTACTTTCAAATGAGTACACAGTATTTGTTGATATATCGTACACTTTCATCAATGATAATTTTTAATAAAATTAATAGGTTAAATTTTCATAAATCGAATACCAATTGTGAAAACCTACGTTGGAAGACTTACGTTGACGCTCGCAACGCGCGGCACTGCGCGTTCGACGCACGCATCACTGAGCTCGCAGCTGCGCTGAGCAGCACTGACAGAGAAATTTCGACATTAACAACACTGCATAACCACCGACTGCCGGTCGAATCAGCTGTTAAAAATGTCTTGGCAAACCGGGCTAATCAAAACAATTTTAGATCCAGCTAATTTAATTATATCAACGGACATTGCAGTTGTCATTGCGGACAAATATCCAAAAGCACGCCATCATTATCTTGTGCTTCCCAAGGAGGATATTGCCAGCATTTTTCAGGTAAGTACTCGCGGTTAGCTAAACCGGATTCCGAAACGTGTTTTTCTTGTCGATTTGCAGTTGAATAGAAAGCATTTACCATTACTGGAGGAACTTCATCTACTGGCCCGCAATATCATTGAAGTGCGCGGCGAATGCTTTGAGTCTTTTCGGATTGGCTTTCATGCCCAGCCGAGTATGCAACGGTTGCATTTGCACGTAATATCAAAGGACTTTGTCTCCAGTTGGTTAAAGACAAAGAAACACTGGAATAGCTTCAATACGTCGCTATTTATACCATACGAAGGTTAGTTGGTGCAAGCAGCAGTTTACGAATGTAAAGTGCCTTAATTCTCGGATACTTACAGCACTCTATGAGAACCTAAGCAAAAACGACAAAATAGAACGTTTGCCCAAGGCAAAGGTAGAGGAGCTGCTGTCAAAGCCATTGGCGTGCAACCAGTGTGAATTCGTTGCTAAGAACATCCCTTCGCTCAAGGAACATCTGCTGCAGCACTGACTGAGCTCAACAATTGTAAAAGGTTTACATGCATGTGGATGTATGTATGTATGTACATTCTTCTGCAAGCAAACATATGTTAGTGGGACTCTTTACAACACTGTATTCCAATATTCACCAGCAATTGTGTTCCTATTCCAAACGTCTCATTCGAATTCAGTTTGACATATGTACATACACATGCATAGACTTGTGTAAGTTTAATTTTTAATTATTTCTGAGTGCTGTATATCCGATAATTTCAATCATTGATTTGATAAAGGAGAAGATAGAAGAAATCATATGATTCGAAATGAGTAATCGCAGGGAATTTGCAAAAAAGGTTTTGACGCAAAGGGCGAAAACTGAGAAACCTCTAATCGAAACTGATCGAGCGGTTGTAATCAAAGATGCTTATCCCAAGGCTCAATGTCATTTTATAGTTGTCTCTAAGGAGGATATACCGAATGTGACTGCGGTAAGACATTTAATATATACGTACATACATATTTCAATGTTATATGGATTTGTGCTAATGCATTTGCCGCATTGCAGCTGACACGAGACAACTTGCCGCTCTTGGATCATATGAAGGAACTGGCAAATCAAATTATTGAACAGCATCAATATGTGCCGTCCAGCAACTTTTTGATTGGCTTCAAAATTGATGCATTTATGAACGGCTTGAATATGCATGTCATATCGAATGATTTCTATTCGGAGTGCATGCGTCGAGTAAGACATTGGAACAGTTTCAATACAGAATTGTTCTTAACGTATCAGGCAGTTTATGCCCTAATTCGTGTTCAGGGCAGCGTGCAGCCCATGCCAGCTGAAAAAGCAGACGAATTGCGTAAAGCATTGCCCCTGCGCTGTAATCAGTGCGATTTCGAAACAAATCTTTTGCTTGGATTGAAAGGACACCTGTTTGAGCATTGGAAAAATCGAGAAGATAAGCTCCAAATAAAGCTGCAAGTGGAAAAGATAACTCGCATGCTAGACGATGCAAAATTGACAACTCCCCCCAAGGTAGCGCTAGAGAAAGCTCCCGTACCATCAAATCAGTCAAAGTCAAATCAAGCAGTGAAGTCAAACAATCATGATCCAACCTTGCCAACCAATCCCTTCAAACGCGATAAGCCTGCAACTAATCGAAACCCATCGAGCTGGCACCAAAATATGAACAACCAAGTGGCGGAGATAAATAAAGGTCAACATGCCAACCACTTTGATAAAAATGTTCAGAAGTCGCCTTATAGTCAGTCCAAATTTCGACAATTCAATCAAGGGGCCTTCAATGGGCCACACGGACCTCGGGCCTTCAATGGGCCACACGGACCTCGGGCCTTCAATGGGCCACACGGACCTCGGGCCTTCAATGGGCCACACGGACCTCGGGCCTTCAATGGGTCCAATGTGCAGGGTCCTGGATTGAATAATAGTGGAGCAAATTACCCTATCGGTAATGTGAATATAAGTATGAATCCACTGTCTAATGCAAAAAAATCATCTGCTCCCAATGCTCAGAATCAAAATCAGGGAAAATACGTGCAGAAAAGCCAATTAAAAAAACAATATCACACCAAACAAACTGAAAACTCTCAGAAGTCCTGAGGATTTATATGCAATATAGATTATCCAAAAACTCATTCAAAATGTTATAATTTATTAAAAACAAAAATAAATACATACATATATTCGAAATGAATATATTCATATAAGTCTCGATAAGTTGCGATCAAGGATTTGTATTCTCTATGAAACCAAATTTGCACGCTTGCAACAATCTTATCAGCTACCGCAGTATGCAAGGCCACGTCATCCATGGAATGGAATCGAACAGTTATGTCGAGAGTGAAGGTTAGTTTCTAAGCCCTCAGCATTGTGACGTCACGCCTGGTAAATTGCACAGAGTTGCGAATGCATTTGTGACGTTGTGAGATTGAGACATCCGCAGTATTTTCTATTTCGCTTTTCATATTCCCAGACTTGTTCAACACTGTTGAAGCTTATTTAAAACACTTACCATAGTGTTTAAAATCAGATGTACCAATTCCAACAGTTCAGCTGCAGCTTTGTTGTTTTCCTGCTCGTCGGCTGGATTATTCAGGTAAATCACATCAAATCTCAAAGGCCATGGCGGAGAGTGAGATTGATCTGGAATTTAAACGTGGTGAATTAACTCGCAAACTGAGCGCTGGCGAGGATGTTGTTATTCAGAGCGAGCGCGCAGCGGTGCTCCGCAACGTGACGTGCCCCAAGGCGCAATATCATTTTGTCGTGCTGCCCAAAGAGGAGATCGCCAATGTGCTAGCGGTGTGTAAAACTGCACTTAATAAGTGTAAATGTATGTATGTATGTATGCATATGCAAAAGTATATTTTCAGCTGAAGCGCGAACATCTGCCTCTGCTGGACCACATGATGGATCTGGCGAATGATGTTATTAAGCAGCAGCAACTGTCACCGAGTGATTTTCGGATTGGATTTAAAATTGATTCGTTTATGAATCGCCTCAACATGCATGTCATCTCGAATGATTTCTATTCAAGCTCGATGCGTCGCATTCAGCACTGGAACACCTTCAACTCCGATTTGTTTATAACGTTTCAAGCTATATACGCGCTGCTTTGCGTGAAGGGCTCGGTTGAGCCGATGCCCGCCGAGCAGGTGGAACAACTTCTCCATGCCACGCCCGTACATTGCAATCAGTGCAGCTTTTATACTGAGAACTTTGGCCAGCTCAAGCGCCATTTGTACATTCACTGGAGGGAACGAGAAAGTGAGCGTCTTTCGAAAATGGGCGTGGCAAACTTATCGCAACGGATGGGGCAAATGCAGATAAATGGAAATGGGGGCACAATGTCGCAGCGGCCATTCAATCCATTTTATCGTCAAATACGGATGCACAATTATCAGTTTGTGCCACGCTTTCAAGGAACGGTTCGACCACAACTTCGTCCGACCTACGAAAATAGCAATTGGAACAACATTCGGCCTCACTACCAGCACCCAGCTCCACCGAGGCCCCCTTCAAATGACCTGCAAAAGACGCAGCCCGATGCTGCATCCAATCCAGCTCCTAGCAAAGGCGCCGAGCAACCATTGCATGCAAAACATCCTAAAAAGAAATGGTATGTGAATAAAAAGAAAAATTCGCATAGTTCCAGTAGTAATCCCAAAGGTGATGCCAATACCAAACTCATTTGAGCCGAGTCTTCGACAGAAACAATTTGATATTGTCTTTTACTTCGAATTGGCTTAAAACCAAAGTCATACAAATTGGCAATGTTTTATCTGTTAATTTGTTATTGCAGATTTAAGTAGTAGGAAGTATTTATATAAAAATATTCCAAGGACATGCATATGAATATGCATAAAAAAGAAAGTGCAATTATTCAGAATTTGTTCACTATTTACAAAAATTCATCTTTCAACCTGAAAACTCTGTTATATATACATATTTACTCATAACCAGATAGACTAAGTTAATGAGTACTATTTTCAAGTACCTATTAACATGATATATATTAACAGATTCAATCCGAAACGAATTTTAGACAACCTTTTTAGCTTCCAATAAATAGAGTCTACAAAAATAAAAACTAAAAAGTTTAACAATTTATAATTATTATATGCCCCTGGGCTGATTAAAATCTAAAGGAAAATAAACGTTGCGTGGGCTCCTGCCGCGTCCACTTTAAAGTTAGCCAGTCAAGTAGCTGAAATAAGGAAAATTATTGGACCACGCCAAATTAAGCGGCAACTGAGCTGGCCCCCAGGTGATGCAGAAGGCAAGGTTAATCCGCTTGAGAACTCCAAAAATTAAATTTGAATCCCGCTTGGTGGGTGAGTGTGCGAACTTTTTTGATGGTTTTGATGCCTGGGAGAGACTCTGCTTTAATAGACTCCATTCAAGCAGCGCTCTGTAGGCACTTTTAAATTATATCATAAATTTACATCTAACCCACCTGGGTGCAAAGCTCAATTGTTATTTTCAGTATCAGAGCTTCCATTTTACATGTACTTAGGCAAATTAATTTGCTGGTTAAACAGAAAATTCAGATATGGATAGACTATGCAAAAATTTTAAATCTAGGCAGAAATGAACCTGAATATTACAGAAATAAATGTGCTTTTAAGATTTCGCCTTCCCTTAGCTAACGAGAACAGAGAGATTTCTGTAGACTTTATAAATACTAAATATATTTAATTTATAAAGACTCTTCGACCTTTTTGAAAGAAAAGTTAATTAAATGTTCTGAAACTGGGTATATATGATACCATAAAATGGTGCCTATCCAAGATAACATTGTAGTTGCGCCTAATTATATTCTAGGTGAGCTCATTGAGCTTAACGTTTATTTCAATCTGATTATAAATCAATTTTTATTTAACATATATATTCCATAAATATTGATTTTATATACAATAACAATCCTTAATTATGTTGCGAAAACAAAATTATATATATTAATAGACCTGTTTAAGGCTCATGCCATCACCTAAAAGTTAAAGGGCACTTGACTTGTTAATTCAGCTGTTTGTCAGCAGTTTGCCTGCAATTTGCAATTTGTTAGCCTCCTTTTGCCATTCAATTAAGTTTTTACTTATAAACTTCCTGGCAAGCTAATCCACTTGACGCTGTTATTTTAGCTCTTCGTGGTAAGTAAGTTCACAGCCCTGGCTGCTGGGCAACAAGGTAAACATATACACGGCTGGCCAAATTGAGAGATATGTACGCGATTAGCAAATTTCAAGGTAACAGCCCTGAACGAAGACTATGCGAACGGAGCTCTAAAGAATTTTCCGCTGCTGCTGCTGCTGATGTGGATGGCTATTGTAATTTAAACTTGACGCCGACACCTGCAACTGTGTTTGTGTGTCACAGTGTCAAGGTGTCTGTAGAAAGCCCTGAAACGTTACTCTCAAACACAGCAGTTTTCGCTCATTTTTGGCTTTTTTTCTTCTTTGGAAGGGAATCGGAGCTTAGCTGCCATTGTTAAAGTAACTTCCACTTGCCACTTGGCCATGCCGTCGGCAGAGCTATTAAAGCTGTCTCCGAACCGCATTGAGCGCTGCCATAGCCTTGCCACCTGTTACGAGTTTGCTCAAGCAACAGGATGCCATTCATAACGGAATTGGATTGGATTTTTGAGCCAGCTTTCGCGGAGCGGCGCTCACTGAGTGGGCGAGTGCTCAGCCAAGCGCATGCTCAAGGTTTCTTTAGCCTAACACAGCAAGCTTTTGCACGAAGAGTTCGCTCAGTAAAAAGTTTATCTAAAATGGAATTTCGCGGGTTTTTTGTTTAATGTTATTAATGAAGTTTTACCGCTAGTCGCAAATTAAGCACTTTATTGGGTTGGCCTCTTGAGAACTTCAAATGCAATTCTCGTGAGTGTGAAACACTTGAGCTAGCTTATTGTTGATGTGACTTTTAGAAACATTAAAGTTAAAATACACATGTATGGATATTTAAGCCCAAATAGAGTGGCTAGGCCTACTTAAATTGTAAACTTTGTTCAAAACAATTCATCATCATTACTGATATCTTGAAGCTAGTTTAAGTTTAAAAGATGGAAAAATAATAATTTAAATGCTATATGCGTATTTTATGCGAAATTATTCTTTTTCTATATATGTAAATGTTTTCAATTTTTCATACTTCAGTTGCAATCTGTCTTAGCTTAAATAATAGGCAAATTGGCCAACATTAATAATTATTATACAGTACCAAGTGGAAAGCACATTTCACGTTTTACTAGACAAACATTAAATGCAGTCATATTCAACTCGAGAGAACGCAATCAAATGTAAATCCGCTCATGTGGAGTTTATGCGAGCCATTCGCGAACTAGTTCAATCACTCGTTCCTTAGCTGCGCGCAATGCGGGACTGTCTGTGGGATTGATTGAGCCAGAATCGAAACAATGCGAGCCTTGTGGAATAATTGTAGCAGAGTCAGATCCAACTGCGCTCCATCCATCCAAACCACCATGAGTCATATAAACATTCTCCACAGCTGGATTCCTTCCACCATACTTCTTATTTGTAGCCTGAATATATTCTTCAATTTTCGCTGAGGTGTATTGGGATCCGAATACGTCGCGACACATATCGGTATACAGAGTTGCCGGGAAAGTAGATCCGAATGGGTGATTCTTGTTTGCAGAGGATTGGAACCAACCAAATTGTCTGCATGTTTGATAGAACCAGCTGAGATGTACTAAGAAGTAAAAAAATAGTTCATATTTGATTTACAGCGTCTTTTGAGGTATACGGCTCTACTTACGATTACCATTGTAGTTATTCTTGACCCATTTGTAATAATCAACAGTTTCCTGATATCGAGCATTATGACATCCTTGTTGCCTGAGACTATACTGTACGAACTTAGATAGTGCTGAGGCATCATCAATATCCAAGTTTCGCAGAACGGAGCAAGATCGGGCCAAATCATAGTTTTCTGGTCTACAAAGAAACAAAATCATATAGAAGAAGAAGAAAGATGTTGCTTGTGCCATAGTTACTTTTGGTACTGCGCTATGCCTGCAAATATGTTTGCAATCAAGCTAAATATTTGCCACTGATCCCTTTCATTATTCTCGTCGAAACTGTCGCACAAATTGAGGAGTTTCTTGGCCTTAGCTCCCTGACCAGTCTGAAACAAGTGCTCGTAGTAGGATGTCGCATTATTGATGAGGTTGTAGCAATAGTCCCCTCCCAGCTGTCTGTAGGCTCTGCCAACAACTTCCATGAAATCGGAAAAGTCGACTTTGGCCTCTAACACAGCACTGGAAGCCCAACCGCCCACTATTACGTCGGGGTACAATAGCTTAAGCCAAACTGCCATGGACGCAGAGTAGGAACAGCCTGATACGACGACCTTAGAGTTTTTGTACTTGTCCTCTTCTTTGAGCACCTTGATAACATTTACCACATCGGCCAAAGCTTGCTCCACACCATGATACTTAAGGTTTTCCGTTGAAAGGGGCCTGTAATATAAAACATACATTTTATGTATATCAATTAGAAAATGTAGCAAGCAGAGGTATGAAGCTAACAGAATTGGAATGCTCCCGCCGAAGAATCGATGTTCAGTGTAGACCAGTGACCCATTGTGCTCCTTTGCTATGTCAACCCACAGTCCTGATGTTATGGAATTCGGATCAATTGTCCATTCGCCGCCGAGTAATAAGAAGATAGGGGAACCATCTACAAAGTTTTCTTCGTTGATCATAACACGCTGACGAAGATAAGTTTGACATGATTAGTTTAATCCCTGTAAGGAACTAGCGAACTCACCTGGCTCCACACGCTCTTGTTAGTGTCGTCAAAGTTGTCCAGGCTCTGGTTGAACCATCGAGTCTCCACATTTGCACGCTTGGTGCTTGGCGGCAATGGTGGCCCACGGTGAAGCTGGTTGAGTGTTTGAACAAATGCTGGAATTTCCATTTCATCTGAGCCTGGAATGTCCTCAAGAATTGCTGCCGGCGCTAGGGGCACGAGCAGTGCCAGAACCACTGGTAAGTACTTCATGTTGTTGGATACGCCGCAAACTTGCGAATGGTTTTCCATCCCGATACATGGCCTATTTAAAGAAAGTCTTAAGCCTTGTTCATATAACACTGATAAACACGAAGGGCTGAACTTATTTCATCACATTGACACGTTGATATTAGCTGCTAAATCGCATTTTAGATTTATGAACAGGTTCCAGCGAGTAATATCAGTAGCTTTGCAAATTTGCAATAATTGGAAACCTGATTACTGGGGAGCTGTTGGAGATGTTACGTGAATGTTGTTGTTGTTGTTTTTTTTTTTTTTTTTTTTTGCTTTGTTAGTGCAGGCATGCAGATAACTTGAAATTGAAAATAAAAGTTTTAGTTTGTGTGCTTGATTATGGATTTTGTTTGTATACTAAGGGAGCTCTTAAATGCACTGCAATAATGAAAATAAATATTCATAACTTGTGTTCAGCACTGGCTGAAGATTCAACACCGAAGCAAGTGTCTTGAGAATCATATAAATATTGAATTTCATATAAAAATATATAGTTTCATAAGAATAGAAAATTTACTTCAGAAAACAACAGTTTGTGTAGGTGTGGCTTATGCTAAAATGAAATCTTCTTCCATGTTCACACACACTCAAAGCATAATAATTCTTATAGCGAAATATATAAACTGAAACAGCAACAGTCATTGAGGCTTAACAGCCACTGTGCTGTGATTTCACCAATTTGCAATTTACGCCCAAGGAAAAACATTGGAAATGGCAATGGACGATGGGTAACAACAAGCAACAACAGCGACAACGTGATCCAATAATAATAACTTTTCATAGGGGCGCATTTGCCGTTAAGCGCCCCTTATCGTTGGGAGGTGTCGTATGCATATGGCCCAGGCCCATTTCACGTTCGTTGGATGCGATTTAGCTACTTGGGCTTTAATAATTTAACACAATCTCGCACGTCATAGACAATCCTTTCGAAATGTATAGCACGTATTTGCCTGATATATGACATTGAGCCTTTGGATTGTTTAATTTTGTGTTTTTATTATTTTTTGCTGTTTGGGAATGCAGTTTACCGGTGGGTGAGCTTGTTGCACAGACATGACGTTGCGTATGCGCTGAGCTGGCATTAGCCCTGAGCCACAATGCACAAATATTGTTGCTTATATTGGCAGCTGCCAAAGGTGGTGCAACTATAATGCGCTGTAAATCGGGCTCAGTTAAAAATCAAAAAAGAGAAGAGAAGAGTGTTGCTTACATACAGTGCTCAAGCCTGAGCATAGTATTGGAATGAGGTACTTTCGGCCATTTCCAATGTCATTAGAGTAATGAGGTATATGAAATGCCTAACTGTGTCCTATTATATAACTACATAATAGGTTAGGTGAGTTATTTGAAGTAAGTTTCTTTTTTTAATTTTTTTATTTAATTATTTTTTGTATCTATAATTTCGAAGAGTCTAAAGATGTGATGCACTTGCTCTATACATGTATATATATAAATTAAAAATACATTTTTAGTAAAATACCACAAAATTTCGTTCATAGTCTGATAGCTAAGTCTTACATATTCTAACGTTTCTGATTTAAATTGAAATGCGCACTTCAACGAACTAAAGCTATTAAAGTGCTTAAGAAACTAATAACACCTTGTTGCATTGTTCTAATTGATTATTGAACAGCTAACGCAAACATGATGTAAGTGCATTCTGCTAATCAACTAAAAGTGCTTTCTCGATTTCTTGAGCTTAGCAAACAATCCACCCACATACACCTACGTGAATGTATAAGAACATATACTATGTACACATGCGCTTATGTACATATACTATATATACATATTTATATACACGTACTGAGAAGTCGAAACACTTATCTCACTTACGTTCAAGTGTCACTCAATTTGTCTATGTTTGTCCAGGATCAATGAGGCGAACAAAGAAATGCCGCAACGCATGCGAGAGGTTGTAGAGCTGTGGAATCTAGAGAGTGACTTCCACGTGGAGAATAAGTTATTTATTTAATAAAGAATAAAGATGTTTCATTCCATCTAAATGACTTCGGTGTGGCGACGCAGAAAGGACATGACACGCAGCTTGGCCAGATTCATGGGCACACTGTCCTGCACATTGATGCTGGCGAGGTCCTCTACATGGGAGTATCCTGCTCGGGGTACAAGACTAATTAACACACTATTTACCCAGCTAATTGCTAGATGCTCGCCTGCTATAACCAACGCCTGGCAGCCCCCTTCATAGCCCAGCACCCGCCATGGATCCAGTTCGCCGTGAGTGAACAGCACTTGACGATACCGCAGACTGTGGTCGAAGTCATGTCCACCAAATTCAGAATTCATCTGTGCGATGCCCAAGGCTAGTGTGGCCGGACCTACTTCCGGCCCAAATGCATCACGACATAGCTGCTCGAAATACCACAAAGGCACTTCGCTGCCAAAGGTGGAGGTGCCTGATGTGGTGTTAATGGCGCTCCTGCCTGTGGTTGTGAACCACCCAAATTGGCTGCACGTCTGATAGAACCAGGCGCGTGCTACAAGCAAATTTTAGAATTGTTAGCAAATGAACCAAGTTTGCCTGTCAACACGCTATTCTAATCATACCGAGTATGGCATACTCTTCTCGAGGCATACAACTATTCTTACACCAAATATTGTCATGCGGTTTGATAGATATTATTTTACAGATAAGTTGGACAAACTGAGAGCTTTTATATAAACGAGAAGCAATCCATATTATCTTAATGAACTATGAAGCCATTAATTACCTATTATCTACCATATATATTTTCTTTTAGTTTCTCACTTCAGGGAGCATAAAAAGTTCATCGGAATATATGTAGAGCAGGTCAATAGGGAGTGATTCACATGAAAATTTAGTATACAACTGAGGAAGATTTCTATTTACCACGCAACTAGTTAGAGTGACCCACTTAGGTCTTCTAGCTCTAAAGCTAAAGCTCTATATGTATATGCTCCTGGAGTACGTCTCAATTCTCACACCCTTAATACTGAATCACTCGAGTGCAAATTCAAAATATATAAAATGTATATAGAGACACAAAAATTATAAAACCTTGAAAAGTCGTAAGTAAAGAACGCAACTTACAGCCCGAGCTGTGGTCCGAGGATTCGCTATACAGCTGCAGCATTGACTTGTAGCTAAAGTCCTGGCAGTAATATGCATTCCAGCGTTGGTCAAGCGTGTAGAGCAGCTCAAGAAAAGTTAGCAAGGACTCTGCGTCGCTTGAGTGCTGCGAGAGAAGCGTTTCGCAAAGTTGTGGCAAGTAGGCACTAAAAGGCGCTTTAGAAAGTAAAGAACTCAACTTGTGCACAGATCTCACCTGTAACTCTGTGTGATCCAGGCAAAGTAGTTGTTGATGCCACTGAAGAAGGAGATGCGATCGAGGCTATCACTGGCATTATAATTTGGGCAGGCATTCAGTCTCCTGAGTAAGTCACTTGCCTTATTCTCATTGAAGAGGTTTACCAAGTGCTCAAAGCCTCGCTCTAAGCGCCGCGTACAATTGGAGCCATAGCTTAGAGTCAAAGAGTTTTCGACCCTGTGCATGTATTCTGAATAGATCTTATCAAGAGAAGAGCGAATAGAACACAAATTTCTGCTTACCATAGAAATCTGCCTTGGCCAGCAGCGGAGCACTGGAGGCCCAGACTGCTGCGACAAGCTCTGGATAGAGATGGGTCATCCAGGCTGCCATGCTGCCAGAGTAGGAGCCACCGATGAGGATGACTTTGGAATGCGTTAGATTGGCTGACTGCGATTTTTGGTATCGTATGAAGTGAGCGACATCGGCCAAGGCTTGATGCAGGTTTAAATACTTTAAATTCTTCACAGTCAGATTGTTATTTCTAGAAGGATGAAATAGTCTCCAGGTTTTATTCCTCATATGTACTCCATTCGACTTACTCAAATGGCCAGCTCTGGCCATAGTATCGATGCTCGGTGTAGAACAAAATGCCCGCATTTTCCACGGCCATATCATGGGTTAGACCGGTGCTGAGCAAGCCAGGCGTAATGGTCCACTCGCCGCCCAAAAATATATACATCGGACCCTGGGGCTTATGATATTTAGCATTGCGAAAATAACGCTATAAGGAAAACAAATATTTAATCTGAAATTGATAATTAAAGCATTTATAGCTAAATTGCTTACCATTTGCCAGGTTCTATTATCGCCAGCCTCAAAGTGATCAAGATTTTGGGTTAGCCAAAGTTCTTGCACTGCAGCCGCATCCTCTCTCGTATAGGGTCCTGAGCTGGGCTCCTGCAGCAGCAGCTCCCAGCTGTGACGATACGGATTAAGAGCTTTCAGACTGCCAGACACAAACAAAGCGAATAGCAATGTGAATAAAGGCACGAGACAGGTGTAATTCATGTCGATGTAGACTGCTTAATACTGAAGTTTCTCCACCAGTTTGTTGCACGTTTTATAGGGAGCATGGCAAATAATTGCCCCTATCATATGCAAATTATTCGTCTATAACAATTGTAAATTAATTATGGATTATCTGCCTTTTAAGTTTTCAGAATTGTGTGAATAAATAATATATTATAATGAATAATAGATTATATAAATTATTAATAAATTATAGATTATTATAAAGAAAAAAGTTAAAATGTTGCTTATGAGGTGACGCTCTGCTCAAAGGGCTAGAAAATTGGATAATCAAAGAATTGAACCAATCACATTTTTCTTTCATTTCGTTTCTAACCATTTTTATATAAACTAAGAGATTCGCTCAAATTTGGTATGATTAAACCTCATATATTTGATAGGTTATATATATAGTATATACATCTATACATATATATATATATATATATATATATATATATAAATATTATAGAATACTTTTGGGTGACCAAATAAAAGTGAATAAAAGCTTAATAATAAAAGCTTTGCCGGCTTACAAAAATATGCCAAGATTTATTCTTTGATGATGATGATGATGATGAGAAATGTAAGAAAATTCTCAAGCTTAAACTCTAATTATATGTTTACAGCTCACATCAGATTTAATATTCTAAATTGACAGAAAAAAAAATCGTAAGTACAATTTTTAGCTATTTACAAGAAGACAGAATATTCGCTCAAGTATTGGATGGTTCCCAGCAGAACCCTTAAGAATATTGCCGCTAAAACTGCTAGGGGCAAGACCAAGACCAAAACGAGGCAACGTTCAGTCTCTCTCTTGAGCTCTTTGCTCTTCTGCTTAGTCCATTTGCACTCAGAGTTGAGTGCGATTCGGCCAAGCTGTCGTCCAGCCCCCGCATGCCGCTCGAGCTTTTTCAGCGGAGCGAATCAGCGCTACCCTCGCAGTCGTGGGCGCTCATTTGCGGTACCCGGCTGGCAATTTATTGGGCATCTGTCTCAGCCAGCTGAGTGGGAATACGTGTGCGTGGGCAGCAAAAGGGGCGGGGCGGGTCGCAGCCGGCAATGAGTCATTTCGCGTTGAATTTTCCACTCAGCGAATTGTGCTAAGCTGCTGGAGGATATTATAAGATAGCATTGGACTATATTTATTTATTCTAGCATGTGTTTCTGTTCACCAGGAAGTGTAAGCGCACACCAAGCCCTAAGCCTCTGGGCCTAATTAATATTAGTTGCTTTAATTAAAAGCATATTTAGTCGTTGCGTATGTTAAAGTTAAGTACATTGATGATTGGGCCCTGACATGCATGCGAAGGATACTTCTCTGGCTCCATTAAAACTGAACAGAGCCTTAACCTTGAGCTGTGTGTTCCGCACACACAGATGCTGGCTAATAGTAATTAATATGCCAAGCTCAGCTGCTGCCAGTATTTGATTGAATATTTTATATAGTTTTGCTTTGGATATACAGATTTAGTTCAGGTCAAGGCTTTTGTGTATTACTATGTATATTTCTGTCTTCTGCATTATTCCCTCTTTTATTGAAAGTGAAAATAAAAGTTTATATGCTCATGCTCATACATATACATATATATTATATTTATATGCATATACTATTAAAAGATGCTTGAAAAAATGTCCAACTAAGTACTCCAAATTGAATAAATTAATTTTACACGGTAAAAAATTAAAAAATTTATTATTATTCTATTGCTATTATAGCTGGTTGATAATTTTTGATCAACAATTCAACTATGGAAATATATTACCAATAATAACAGACAAATATTTGCCATTAGGTCATTTCATTTATTTACTGCTCTGCCTGCTTCATTGCTCATTAAGTATTATTGAAACATATAAATATATCTATTGTTTTTCTCATAATTTATTAAAATTGTTCATTAACAGTAGCCTTAATTAGTATATGCCCATAAATACCAGAAACTTTCAGCAACTTGTTGTAATATAAACTCACGAGCAACACCTTTCACACCTCTCGCCGAAAGCAACAAGAGAAAAAGAGTGAAAGAGCGCATTGAGTATGGCTCAGAGCACGAGCTCACTCACGATTCACTCCGAATGAAATTTACGTAGGCGCTGAGCTCAGTCACTCGGCTCAGTTGTCCTTTTGAGTGGACGGCAGCGCATAAAAGCCGCACACACTGCGCTCAATGCTTCAGTCGAGTTTGAAACTTACACTCAAGCGGAGTTGTAAATAGTTGTTCGAGTTTTTTGGCTCGTACTCAAACGTACTGTAACCAAATATTTGCCAAACTCAATAACACACTGACACACACATACACACACACTGTGCAGCAAATGAAATAAAAGAAATTGCAATAAAAACATTTAAATATTTATATAAAATTTTTAAAATAAATTCACGAAATTGTTTTTTTCCATCTTGGCGCGTATTTCCAACTGGCGCGTTCATATTTTTATACATTCGTGCGTTTGTGTGTGTATCTGTGCTTGTGCATCGCTGTATGTGTGCGTGTGTATGTGTATTACCTTTGTAATAAAATATAGAACATAAATGTGGTGTCTTTTTTGTAGTGACATTGTAAACGCAAACTTGGCGTAGCAAACTTAATCAAGCGACAAAAGTTGCCAGCAAAAATATCAAATAGCCTGGTTTATAAGTTAATTGTGCGTGTGTGTGTGTGTATGTGTGTGTTTCTCAGTGCGTTATGGAATTGAATTGAAGAACATTCACTTTACACATTATTTACCTCAGCCTTAGACTCAGCCTCAGTTCTAGCCTCGTTAGTGTGCAGCTTATTCATCTGCTATATATGCCAACTGTGAATAAATGTGTGTGTGTGTGTGTGTGTGTATGTTTATGTGTGTGCAGTGTTTGTGCTTTGAATAACAACACGCAGTTGCTGATTGTTGCCTGCTTTTGTGTGCGCTTACTGTTGCTATGCCCCTCATCTGACCCACACTTCAGTCCGCCCCTCGCCGCTCGCCTCCTGCTAAGGGCACCTGTTAAATTATGCATTAAGAAGACGTAAAAGCAGACTCGCAAAACCTCTATACCAACGCATTCCAAATTATATGAAAAGAGATGGAAAAATGCTGCGGAAATAAAGCTGAAATTTTCTCTGTCTGCTGTCGCCGTTGCTGTTGTTGTTGTCGTTGCTGCTTTTACTTTTCTTCCTTTTTTTTTTTTTCGTTGTTGCTGTTGTTGTTGTGGGCAGTGAGTGGCTTGGTTGGCCGTTTTTTATACTTACATATTATGCAAATGAACGCTTGCTTGTGATTTCGGCAGCTGACTCGGCTGCTATATTTATACATTTTTCACGTTTGAAGGTAACCAAGAGTTGTGACCCCAGACTAACCCAGGCTGCTGGCTTACTTTAAGTTTGTTTTCATTTCATAACATATGACATGTTTTGCCCCAAAGGGGAACAAATCAATTTCAGATAAACTTTTTACTTGCTTATAGAAGTCTCAAATCAGTTTTAAATTGTTATGGAAGTAGTTCGAAGTAGGTTGAAATAAATTGATAGTTTTTGAAGTCCAAATATGTCGTGATTAAAGTTTGTCATGTTTTAAAGATCTATATAAAGTTCCGCTTTTTATTGTCTGCGTTAGAATTTAGCCAAAGAACTATCATATTTAATAAACATCTATCAAAACTTTAATGTATTTCATATATTTATTTGACCATACTTGGCGATTGGGCAAAATCTCAATAATTTTAGGTACTTTCACATAGCTTGGAAATAGTTTTCCTTGTTGTTTTGTTGTCTCATAAAATATTTTTTGAAGCCAACAGGTTCAAGTTTTGTTTTTTAACCAATATATTTTAGATATTGAACTTTTATTATATATTATTTTTGTTATTAATATATTAATATCTGAATTTCATAGCTTGTTTCTTTTTCAAAATCCTTGTATCAATGCTGAAACTTGAAATATCCAAAGACCAAAGTGCCAATTAAGGTTTCTTCTCTCGCTTTCGTCAGAGACCTTTATAAATCTTCTTCAAATATATACGGCCTAATTTTTTTCATATTGAACTGTTTGATCTCTTAGCTTTACATATATTCTAGCCCAGTTGGCGTAACTCGTCGCTCTATATATTAAAATAATTTGTGCCGCTTTATTTGGCAACAGTTGGCCCAGCTTACATAACTCACTTAGTTTCCTGCTTTATGGCCCGTCTGCTTGTGCGTTTCTATGTCCTATGCCCGTGTGGCCTATCCTACTATTTCGCCTTGTGGTTTCCTTTGAGTTTCGTGCGCAACTTTGCAAATGGTTAAAATGCGTCTTAAAATATTTTATTTTATTTTATTTTTTTTTTTTTGCGCCTCTGGTGTATTTAATTTGGTCGCAAATTGTGTTTTCCCCAGACGTTAAATGTCTTTTATTAGACTCGGAATTGTTTATCAAATGTTTGGCCAAAACTTTCATTACAGTATATTAAAGTATTTCGCCAACGCTAGCTTGTGCCTGGAGTTTGTTTAGAAGGAAATGCCTGACTCTTTTACGACTTTATTCCCAGAAGTACGCCTCGAAGACATTCCTTGTCTTGGAATTTTTCCTCTTTGCGGGAGACTAAGATTTTTATTTACTTTACTCATTTAGCTGTAAAAGAATTGTGTGGAATTCTTAAAGAAAGAATATGTATTGTATATGTATGTATGTATGTGTATGTATGCATTCCGCTGTGAAAATGTGAAAAAGAGAATTCTTAAAATTAGCAAACATTTGTATAGAGCTTTGCCTTAAGCACTGACTGAATAGGCTTGCATCAGCTGGAGATCCTAAGGCCATGTAGATACATTTATTTTTAAAGGATATATGTATTCATAGGAGCCGAGCTTTCGTTCAATTATCCTATACAATTGTACTTACAATTGTCGTAGCTACTTTCTGCTGGCTGAGCAAGGCCAGAGCAATCTATCTGGCCTACATCGCAGCACATTAATTTTCATTACAAGCTGTGTTGCGCCACAGCCCCACAGCCCCACAGCCCCACAGCCCCACAACCCCTTCTCTGAGGATTTGTCAAC